TGTCTATATCTATCCAACTGAAGTCACTTTCTTAAACTTTAGTCCTAAATAAGTAACTCCCTCTGTAAAAAATTCAAATTCATTTATAATCTAGATTATTGTCTCCCACAACTCTCTTCTTCCCAACTTCACTCTTACTGTAGTGGGTACTACCCACCACCCTTCTTGTCACCCAAGTTGATAACCTTGGTAAGTACCTTGACTCCCCACCCTTACTCACCTGATATATACTATCTATTGCCAACTTTTGTTGCTTCTACCTTCCTAATATCTCTTATATATCACCTTTTCTCTACTAACAAAACCCAACACAAGTTTAGGCTCTCATCACCTTTCTCATAGATTACTTCAATAGCCTTCTAACCGATCTCCCTTCTTCAAGTCTCTCTGCAATCCAATCCCAGGCAATTTCCCTAAAGCAAAGGTTTAACATTTTTTACTTAAGGGGATCCAGTGGTTCCCAATTATCTCTACAATCAGGCAGCTGATAAAATCTGAAAACAGGGCCTGGAACCCAGATCTTCTGATTTATCTTTGGTTTTTATTGTAATTTTTTTTTTTTTAATGATACCAATCAGGCACACTTAACAGGTTAGAGGAAATAAGTGCAAAATACACTTACTATTTAATGGCATTATGTCCAAATAGGCAATAACTGATTAACAAAGCAAATTTAAGGTGCAACCAGAAATTGTTAGGATAGAACTATATTTCTCTTACCTCATTTAATCTCATAGCACTTTCAGCTCCCCCATTTACTTAGCACTGGTTTGTGTTTGATCTGTGTACATGTCTCACCAACTTTGCTAGGTTATGAACTTCATGAGGCCAGGAATTATATTTTACCTATCTTTCTAGCTCTTCCAACCCTATTTATTGTATTGAACAGAGAAGCCTCTTAATAAATGTTGTCAGATAAATGTTCTATGCCTATCTTAAGCACTTAGTATGGTGCTTTCAATATAGTATCCAGTTAATAAATGATTTGGATTTAGTATAGCCTGGATCAATTTAATGACATTTCAAATTTTATTGAGGTTGCTGAAAATAGTAACATATGATTGCTAATACTTGAAGAATTTGTGCCCAGAAAGGGCGTTAGAGAATATTTAGTTTAAATACTCTATTTTACAGATGAGGATCTAGTAGGGGTGGGGAACCTGTGGCCTCAAGACCACATGTGGCCTTCTAGGTCCTAGGGTGTGGCCTTTTGACTGAGTCCAAGTTTGAAACAACAAATCCTTTTATTAAGGGGATTTGTTCTGTGAAGTTTGGATTCAGTCAAAGGACTGCACTTAAGGACCTAGAAGGCCACATGTGGCCTCAAGGCTGCAGGTTCCCTGCACCTGAAAAAGGATACATTAGTTTTTAGCCTCTATTAAAAACAATAAAGAATACCCTTTGGTTATGGAATGGAAGATTTAGGTTAGACAAGAGTAAGAACATCCTGATGACATCACTGTTACCACTGGCTTAAAAGAAAGGTTATAGAATCTCTTCTGAAATTATAGTTCATCATCCTGGCACAGTGGAAAGAGCACTGGCTTTGGAATCAGTTCTAATCTACTCTAGTCCACTCATTAGCTGTATCAGCTTGGGTAAATCACTTAATCTCTTTCACTATCAGTTTCCTCAACTACAAAATGAAAGGTGTTGAATTAGCTGATTTCCAAAGTCCATTCCAGCCTTACATATTTGATCCTTCCCAGATCAGTTGGGTTAGATATCCTTCTTCCCAAAGCTGGGAATATGGAGAAAACGAGCATTATAATACTCACCCGAAAGTCAATTTAAGTAGGAGGGAAGAGAGAAAAAAAGAAAAGCATGCAAATCTATATTGGTTCCAAATTCAACTAAATAAATATTTGTTAAAAATATTAAATACTACTTAGATATTATTAATGATACAAAATAAAAAGGAAATAATTTTTATAATAAAAAACAAAACCAAAAAAAAAATGCCTTCAAGTGACTTACAATCTAAATGTTGGTGGATAAATTAGGATTGTTTGTCAAACTTCAGCTCAATTATTGCTTTACTGACATTATGCGGTTTTCACCAAATCTGTTTTAACAACCAATCCATTACTAAAGACAACTAATTCCACTTCTCTAAATGGAAGGGAAGTGGAAAGCAGCAGTGAGCTACTTCTAGCTTTCAAACTAGATACTATCATATATTGTCTGAAGTTGTGCTTTAACACATAATGTAAGTACTTATTCACTAATCTCCTCCTTGTACAGTTTTTAAGGTTTTTTGTTTGTTTGTTTGTTTTTTGCTCATCTAACTTACCAGATGGACAGCTAGGAAGAGCAGTGGATAGAGTGCCAGGCCTGGAGTCAGGAAGACTCATCTTCCTGAGTTCAAATCTGGCCTCAGACACTTACTAGCCATGTAACCCTGGGCAAGTCACTTAACCCTGTTTGACTTAGTTTCCTCATCTGTAGAATAGCAGGAGAAGGAAATAGCAAACTACCCCAGTATCTATATGAAGAAAATCCCCAAATGAGGTCATGAAGAGTCAGGCAAGGCTAAATAAAATGAAAATAAACTCACCAGATACTTCAATATAACCAACTAATTACCTATTGAACACCCATGAGATTTATGATCATGAGCTATAATTTTACACAAAACTTGATCTATTTGTATATGGGCTGAAAAGATTAAAATATTTGCAGAACTTCAAAGTGTATAGCAGTGGTTTGGTAAAGATCCAATATGATATTGTAGAACCAGTGATATCTTTCTTACTAAAACTTCCACTCATATTTGAAAGCAAGAATATCTACCTATGCTTTCATAAATATTTTATTGGCATAAACCTTTGTTTTGTTCTTTATCTGTATCATTACTTCCAATATAAGAGTGATGAAAATAATAATAAAATAGCAAATAGAATGCTTCCAATTATGTTTGTCTTTGGTGAAATGAACTTTTTGTCAGGAAAATAAGTGGAAAATGTGCTCTCCCACATTTTTCTCTATGATACACACACACACACACAAATATATCTAAAAAGACAAACAAGCTGAAACTACCTGTAGCCTTTTTTGGTGACGTTAAATGCAATCACTTAATCCACTTGACAAAACAAACATAAACTGGGATATGATTTTGATAACATATTCAAATTTTTGAGATTTGTGTAAATTTGGTTTTTTCTACCAAGTGCTTGTAATAGTGTTACACAAATCACTAAAACTGCTCTGCAGTAAATCCATATGTGTACACATATTTGAAATTGTATATTACCCTTCCTGTTTGAGAAGACCAGTTGGAACTAAAGGCAAGATTCAGTGCTGGAATCCAACACTGAGTTCTTCTGAACCAGATCTCCACAAATCATCAAATTATGTTTGCTTCTTTGCATTAAAGGAAAGTGCACGGGAGGGGGTTGGCCCATGCCTAGAGTACCTAAGATAGCATAAACCACATGGAAGATGTTAGAGGACCTGTTTCAGGGACACTGAAGAACTGTCACATGTGTTAATCTTCAATGAAGGATGTTCATATATGGACCAGTTCTCCTATCTCTCTGAAGCAGATAGTACTGTCTCCCATGTGAATGATGCCATTTTAGTTTATCAAGGCATTTGCAAAATCTCCATTATAAATTCAACCTTTTGGATTGCCTATGTCTATCTGCATTATGGAGAAAACACAATTAATTGTATTTTATACATACAAATAAATACAACATTAAAAAAGCAAAGAAAATGCAATTTTTAAAAATATTACAGTCTGAAACCAGATTTTGGAAAACTTCCATCAGCTTTGGATTGAATTTTGTGATCATATGCTCTTTGTGGAGTGTGTTTTCTTTTATATTGTATTTTCATGCATTAGCAAAATATTAATTTTATGCTTACAATGATTGACTTAAAATTTCAGATAAGGTAACAAATAATAAAGTTTGGTTAAACCTAGCTATTGTGACCATAATTTAAAATAACGAAATAAATTATTATTGACAAAATCACTAAAACTTGCATTTGTTTTTTTTTTTTTTTTATGTATTTTCTCCTTGTCTCTCTTTATGGGTATGCCAGAGGAATTTTGATTAAACAGCAATGATGTCACCAAAATCAAATTGAAGATTTTCCCCAGTAGAGGGAGGCATAATCCCATTGTTCTTTTCACAAAGGGAGACAATCCCTAATATTTTATTCTTGGATAAATACGAACTAGCTACTTGTTGAGACAGGCCTTGACACTTTCAGGAAGCCCGTATTAGAATTAACTTGACCTAAAACTTCATTGTAATGAAATTCACTGCAAATAACAGTATAAAGGTGAACAACTTCATTATCTTAAACATTATGTGGGAAAACTATTTTAAAGCACAGTTCAAATTGTTAGGTGTAGCAACAAAAAATGCCTGCCTGACATTTTATTAAATTATAAAATAATCATTTGAATGGGTTGATTTTTTTCCTCTTAAGTTATAGTTTGTTCCTTGCCACCCTTTTATACTCATTTTTGTCATAAATTTTTCCATAGTATTAATTTGTAAGAATGTCTATAATTACAAAATCTTTAGTCTATTAATGAAAATATTAGAACTCAGTCTCTGTGTAATCATGTTGTAATCTAAAATGTTCTATTTGGATGTCTGCAATTTTTTTAAAAAGTCTTATATTCATGCCTTTGTGTGTTTTTCATTTCTATCTGATTGTGTATTTATTGTATTCCGCAGGAGAAGTAAGCTACTTAGGGCAGAGAATTTCTCTCTGTCTCAGTCTCTCTCTCTCCAGTTCCCCTTCCCTCCCTCACTCCCCCTACCCCAGCATACTGCCTTGAGCAAAGTAAGTACTTAATAAATGTTTGTTGAATTGAATCTTAGAGGTTTTCTGGATTTGCTTGTTTTGAGGGTCTTTTGCTCTCTTTGTATTTCACTAAGCATCCTTCCCTCAGTTGGATATATACTAAGGAAAGTACTTACATGTGTGCCTGCTTGTGTATCTGTGAGAATATGCATTCCAGAATAGTGACTTACCGTGATGTTGTAGGTCTGAGCAGTGAGTCAGTGGGTCTCCATTGCGTATATCTTGTCTTCTTGTGCGTCTAAAAACATTACATTAGAAAATGGGTTATTGGATTTCTATTTGATACTCTTCAGTGCTTTGAGGAGTAATGAAAAAGATGTGTTTATGAAGTTAGTAAGCAAACACAAACAGATCTCAGAATTTGAAGCAAAGTGATGTGTGTTTTTTTTTGACTAGAATATAGCAGTTTGTTGCACTTGTCACTATAGGTTCCAAAATAATCAATATGTATAACAATTGTACTAGTTTATGATGACAATATAAGTCTTTCAAAATATTGAATACAAAGAATTCATGGTTTGGTCTGTAGAATGGCAATAAATAGGAACCTTGAAATCGTCCCCTATAGGCTTGAGCTAATTTAACTTTTGAGGACATGCAAAGGGATTTGAAGTAATATCATGCTTTAACAAGAAAGGAGGCAAAAAGGCAAAAGGAGAAGGGGATGAGATGGATAGATAGTGTCATGGAAAAAATGAATGAGCTTGGACAGACTTTAGGAGATAGCGGAGGTTAGAAGGGCCTGGCATGCTTATAGTCCATGGGGGTCACAAAGAGTTAGACATAACTACAACAACAACAAATTCTTTAACAAATGGAGACTTGATTGAGAAGGCTGTCGACTCATAAATAAGAATGATTCATGCTAAGAATTTGACAGGTTCAAAGCAAGTGTGCAGTCAGATATTTACTAAAGTCTAAACTCAAGGAGAGATAAAATATGACTTCTCCCACATTTTCATGAAGTGGTTAGTTTAATTTACTAAGGAAAACTTTCAACAAAAACTTTCACCAATTTCTTTTTCCCATCAGTCCCATATGCTTCTTTAAATTATCTTTTCATTAATATGCAATGATTTGAGCAAAAGGATTCTTTTTTTAACCTGATTTTCTTTCTTTCTTTTTCCTTCTTTCTGTCTGTTTTTCTTTCTGTCTGTCCTTCTGTCTCTCCCTCTCTCTGTCTGTCTCTTTGTCTCTCTCTCTGTCTCTGTCTTCACTTTGGGGGACATTTATCATCTGTTTTGTTTTTGTCCCAAATAGCTGCAACTGCAAAACCAATTCACCCCCACAGGTGTTTTATTCAGGATTTTATACAACAACAGGATTGTGTTTGGTCAAAGCCTTGGCTGAGCAGAGAGTGGAGTTAGATAACAGAACAATATCACAGGTACACAAAAACAGACTGCCTTATGAAACAAAAATGTAGTTATACCAGTTTACATTAAAGTTATCCCTTCCTTATTGTTGATAACTTCTGCTTTTCCAGATGGTACAGCTAATTCCTTTTACTGCCCACATTTTAGGAGTGGAAAAACAAAGGAACAAACAATTGTAAATTCTATTGTTCTTCAACCTTCCCAAATGCAATTCACTCAAGTGTACAGTGAGTGATATTTTTGCATGCCTATATCACAGTTTTTAGTGAAGTAAAGCTCTAAAACAAAAATGAAAAATCCCCAGTCCACATCAAATTTTAAAATGAGAGCTATGAGGAAATTGCCCACGTGATGATCTGAAAGAATTACACAAAAAGATTCCAAATAAAAACCTTATCAAAATAGTATTTATTTCTAAACAATATCACCTATTTATGTCTTCTTAGCTGTCACCCTTTTCACCTTCCTTATCACCATGTCCTGCTTTCTTACCTTCTCTGTTCTCTCTTGCCTCTAATGTGATCTTGTTCCTTTGCTATCCATAATTCTAAATCTATTAATGCTACTAAAAGCATCCCAAGCTTGATAAAGTGAAACACACACACACACACACACACACACACACACACACACACACACACACACACACACACACACACACACACACACACACACACACTATTATTGAATCCATTCAGCTTCAGGATTTTGCCCAGGGGCTAAACTGTGCTGATTAGATCAGAGAATCATGTATTTGTTGCTCAGTCCTGTCCTACTCTTTGTGACCCCATTTGGGCTTTTCTTGGCAAGGGTACTGGATTTCTTTCTCCAGCTCATTTGACAGATGAAGAAACTGAGGCAAATAGAGTTAAACAACTTGCCCAGGTTCACACAGCTAGTAAGTGTCTGAGGTCAGATTTGAACTCAGATACTCCTGACTCCAAGGCCTCATTCCATCTACTGCACTACCTATGGATCACAAGATGACAGATTTAGAATAGGAGGAGACCTTATGGACCATTTACTCTACATCACTAAATTATAGATGAGGCACTGAGGCTCAGAAAATTTATGTGCTGTTCCCAAGGTTACACATAGAAGAATTGGTGGGCAAGTGAGTAAAATGACAACTAACTCACTATATGTAGCCAGTCATAGGCCATGTTTCATATCCTCTCTAGTCACCCAGCACGAAAACAGGCTCTGTTCAGCTATACAGCATGAGTATTTTGCCATCTTTACTACCATTGCTATTGCCTTTGTCCCAAATCTCTTACTCTGAGAACTGTAATCAAATCATTACTACCTTTGTTATTGGAAAGGGTGTGACAGTTCACTGTCCAGTGGTTCTTCTCACAATCCTTGTGATTCCTCAACCAAAACTTCCTTCCTGAGAGGGCCTCTTCTCCTTGCCTCCTCCCCACATATGCTATAAGAATGAGATCCTTGAGTACAATAACAATATTATTTGTACTCCCAGGATCCAGTACAGTGTCTGGCACATAATAGAGGTTGAATGAATGCTTGTTCACTCATTCACATTAATCAACATGGTTTAGGTTCATTTTAATAGGGGGTTCATAAGATTATGATTAATACATACCAATACAGTACCAATACAAAAGGGAACAGAGGAGGTTGAAAGAAAGGATGGATGGGAGGAGAAGCACGTGTAACCCAGTGATGTAAGGAGTATTAACAATTTTATATCATATATACACTACTTCTTTTGCTCTAAGGAATTGTTCATCTTTGAATTTTCCTATTTCCATAACTATCAGGTTCCACTAGGCATGGAATGGCTGAATTCATTTACTGAGGAATCACTTCCAGAGCCCTTGCAATTTGCCTAGCAGCACAGTAGATCCTGTGTGAGGGATACAAAAATTCACCAGGATTTTGCAAAATATTTTGTACTTCTCAGCTAGGAGTCACAGTATAAACACCATCTGTAAATCATGTGAAATTTAGTGATTTTTTTTGTATTTTGTGTCTTATAAGACAAATAATCACGCAAACTGAACATTTTCACATATTTTAGGGCTGAAGAAACTGTCCTAAGTTGATGGAGCATAGCATCTCTGATCTGACAGGAAAATGGACTGATTAATTTAGATCCCTAGCCAAAGCATCAAAACACTTTGGTTCTCAAAGAGATATCTTTGATGTGGAGTGTTCTGGATTTCCTCACTCCCTTACATTTTTGACCAGAGTGAATTTGCTACTAACCAAATAAAAGGAGGAAAGAGTGATCTGTGTGTAGGTGTGTACATAAACCTAGTGGTTGAGGGGAAGTTGTGTGGAGTGACAGATGACTTTGTGTAATGGACTGAAAAAAGGCTAGGACACTCTGGCCTAAGTTTTCTCCACTTCCTGATTTAATGGTTACTTTCCCACTCTAAAACTTCCCTCTGTAATTGAAAAGAAGTCACATGAAGACCATTTCAAGCTGCTAACATAGATTCTGTTACTGCATTCATAAATTCCGAAGACAAACATATTTATAGAATTCTATTTGTAGAATTAGTGAGGATATCAAACAAATGTCACACATTTCAAAATTAAGCCAACATGGGAACTTGTGAAACACGAGCCACAAAGCATCTGAGGAGACTCTCAACTGTCATTTAGGTGCTTTAAAAATGCAATTAATGAGGAGAAAATACAAGCTAAAGCTTCTAAAAAAAAATCCCTTTTTAAAAACATAGTACTAGACAGGTGATATGGATTAAGAAGAATGTGTCTACAATGAAAGGGAAATGTGTTAATGATAATTCCTTACACTTTTACATTCTAAGGGAGTCAGTAAACGTATTTCAATTACATCATAATATTCAATGTTCAATTTATGATAGGTATATTAAGGGCCATATTTTAAAAAGTTCTTCCCCCAACTCCTTCCAACTAAATTATGGCATGGTGTATGAACTTTCAAAGAATGGAAGGTCTATTCAACTTCATTTCAAAGCTGAATTCTATTGCTCTTGAATCTTTTTTTTAAGCCCCCTGTAGCAAAAAGCACTTTTCATTGTTTTGTCACCTTTTCAGTCATGTCTGACTCTTTGTGACCCCATTTGGGGTTTTCTTGGCAAAGATACTACAGTGGTTTTGCTATTTTCTTCTCCAGCTAATTTTTATAGTGGAGGCAACTGAGGCAAATAGGTGAAGTGACTTGTCACATAGCTAGTAAGTGTCTGAGGTCACATTTGAACTCATGAAGGTGAGTCTTCCTAAGTCCAGGCCTGACATTCTATCCACTGTACCATCTAGCTGCCCCACAAAAAGTACTTGGGAAGCATGAAATTTTAATTTTTAATAACTATTATTTTTATCCTCATAATCACTGTCATATTGTAATGTATTAAATTATCTATGGTATTTTTGATCAGTGATACATTCATCTCATTACTGAGGTTCAAATTTTTAACTTAATCTGCCAACATCAGTAGTGGGTAAACAATAGTTTACATACAAAGAAGGAAAAGTGGGAAGGACTAAGGGGATTGTGTATGCCTGACATAAGACATTATTTGTCATCAGACACTTATAATTTATAATTTTTTTAATATTATAGTAACATGACAAAAGCCCATCAATTTTCATTTTGATTTTTAAGTTGAAGATCAGGACCTTTATGAATGGATTCCAGAAGACCATTAATATGAGAACCTACAGCTCTTTTTAATCAAGAACCAACTAGTTCATGAGGTAGTAATATAGAAATCTGTTCCACCTATTTTTTCCCAACTTCTTCCAAAACATTTTATCAGTGAAAGTTTTCTAAATAAATAGTTTTTACAAAGTCATATTCTTAAATGGAGGACATTGGGTGAAATAGAACTAGCTTTGGGGCTGTAATCAG